CACTCATGGTAATTGTAACAAAACAATGTCATTTTCAAACAATTTAAAGACGTTACAGCTTCCAGGTGCAGGAATCTCGGATATTACCAGTGGAGACCAAATAGCTCCACACCCTTGGGACAAACAGGGTGGATATGGAGATTCAAAGCGTTCAAAGGAAAGTTGCTAAGCCAATTCTGCTATACAGGTCTTTCATGTCATTATGATTAAGAAAATGTGCTACCGGCGAAATAATTGGCTTGGATTTACAGTGCAGTGCTATTAATTCACTTCTCTGATGCTTAATGTCAAACGCCCTTGCCATAATGGATGGGACACTGTCATACCATTGAATAAAGCTCACATTTCACACTTAAGCAAACTAGCATGCTGCATTAAGTATACCAGTTATCGTTCCCGACATTGCCAAAGCAGGGGCGCGTCTAGCGCATGCTTACGTGGTGGCACTGTGGAGATACCCCAGCATCTTCTTCCTCCTCCTGGGACAAGAGGAAACGATTATCAGCGAACATTAGCTTATCAGCATTTGTCACAGCCTCTGACATAGACTGATATGGCTCCGACCTTTGTCCTCTTTCAGCCTCAATACACCAAACATCGCACCACACACATTCCTCGGACATCAGAGTCAGTGAGTGCCCGTAGCAGCGGTGTCCGCTCGCACATCATTTTAGCAGCTGACAGAAAATGTGAAGGACCAGTGCTTGCACAACTCTGAATGCCCTAATCAGCTTTGCAAGAGCTAGGTGCATCAGTGCATTGTCATATCGTTTCACGTCGGTGTTGCGATGAGTCACGCCGCCCCCGCCTGCATTGGTCGGCAACGCCCCGCTCACGGCGCCGCAAAGGTGACAACCCCTTTTGGAGTTCCCCGCTCTGCTCAATTACTGCCCGCCCGCCCGGCTCCGGGGCTTAAGTCCGCAGTCCTGACGCGCCGCGTGCCCCCAGCAGCGGCGCGGACCACAGCGCCACGCACCTGCTGGTCGAGCAGGCAGCTCATGATGTCCAGGTTGGGCGTGTTGTCGTTGAGCGCGATGCTATTATCGCCGGCGCACAGCCGGTGAATGTCCTGCACACACAGCGGGTGCGTCACCAGCTTGACGCTCAGGAAGTCGACCTCGGCATCCTGGCTGGCCTTGGCGCCAGTCGCTGGGTGCGGCGCCTCCTCCAGAGCCCCGGCCAGCGCCAGCGCCAGCAGCAAGGCCAGCGTTCGCAGCAGCGAGGTGGCCCACATCGCTGGAGTCTCCTCGGCACGTGGCGGAACGTCCGTCAGTGGGGAGTGATGCAGTCAGACCCAGCTGAAAGAGTCCAGCACAAGTTTTGAGACACTGATGCAGATAGTAGGGGTCCGCTTGATGGGGAGACAGGAATGCATGGCCCTCATGGTTTCAATGATTATGCCTGCAGCATTTATGTAAAACATTTTGATTATGTATTTTCAGATTTTGAAACAAATATTAGCTGCATAACTTTTTTCTGTCAGTATTTGCAAAGTCACATATCCTTCCTTTCATAGAATTCTTATTTCAGGTCACACTACCTTTCAGGTTTGCACATGGCTCATTCCTTGGTATTACCAGCCAAACACATGGTGTGAAAGCAGTTAACTACCTGAATATGTCATTAAAATGGTAACACTGTACGCACATGCTTCACTCACAATGAATTATTGTTACTTAGGAGCAATTCATCTAAAATACATAGGTACCTGAAGTACACACCCAGTAATGATCCAACCATGTAATGTATGGCAGGTTATATTTTATGCAAATTATAATGGCTGTGGTTTGTTAGTTCATTAAGTATGCACTAACATCCTGATACCTAAAACCAGCAATATGTGGTAATGACAATGTTCATACTCCTCATCCTGTTAAAATGAGATGATGCACTATTCAGCATCATTGATCATAGCCAAATGAATGACTTCTGTGATCACACCATTCTTGGCAAGGGAAAACAGGACAACATGAGAACATGGATGTGTAGCCAAAAAGGGCACACAGCAGACCAATGGGCATCTTGACAAAAAAATATGCTGCTGGTAATGCAGTTGGGTGTGCTGCTTCTGAAGTCATCCCTGATGCAAACCACACTTCAACTTTTGATGATGCTTTTTGATTTGATCCACAAGCTGATTGCATTCCCTCTCAATAAGCACAGCCAATCATTTTAGGTGTGTGTGTGTACATGTGTAGAGGGGAGGGGGTTGGGGATCTTGGTAAGTATTTTCTCCTAGGTGGAAGGTGGAATATCAGTAAGCTTTTAGAGCTCTGCATCCTCCCCCAATGTTTTTACATCATATTCAGGAACAGAGGGTCATGAAGTTATATAATTTGTATGCAGTATCAAAAACAAATAGCTAAATATCTTGCTATTTCAGGAATTACTGCCCCAGCTCTGAAAGCTGGGCACCAAATAAAATGTACACTGCCTTTCAGAATATATGATATTACAGAGTCTCTAGCCCACATACCAATAGTAATACAAAACAACAAAACTGTGTCATCTTACCATTGGTTGCAATAAATTTAGGCAAAGTCCCAGGAAATTCCTGACCTGATGCTAGCAACATTGTTTTGTATTGGAATTTCTCCTCAGTGGAGGTGCTCTTTTTAAACTTGCATCCATATCCTCCTGTTTTGTGCATGGCATTGCTGTGACCAAGCCTGGTTAATGAATGTGTGGTATGTGCAAACATCATTCTGTTGTAATTAAAACAAAATAAGTTCAGAAAACAAGGTGTTATGCACTGTGCAGGGCAATACACATGTCATGCAAAACATTGTATGCAATCATCCCTGCAAATTATGCCCAACATTTAACATTTCAATCATGTGAACAATACCCAAACTGCATTCATTGACCGGACAATACCCTAACCGGATCTTCCAAGACCTGTTGTGTTCCGAAGACTGGATTACACCTACCTTCAATTATTATTTTGCAATTTTGGCATTACATGCAGCAAAGTGCAATTTCATGAACACAGATCTTAACATGAAACACAATAATACAAGGAGAAAGGCAACGGTAGTGCTAACCCATAAGGCGTTGCAGTATGGTTTACCATATGAGAAACCCGGTTCTCGTCATTTTGAAATCGGCCTTCGAGCTTGTGCGATGACAAAATGTACACTGACGTAGGGCTCTCCTACAGATCTAAATCCAGTGACCCCTTTCGTTTGGCATGACGAATGAACAATAGCGTACCTAAAATAGTCCCTTTGCTTCTTTCACTCACCTCCTTCTGCGCCTTCTTTCCCTCTTCTCATGCACAGTTGTTTACCACAAGATGCTTACGACGCATTATAAACGATTTCGGCGCAGAAATTAACTACCCAATGTACCCAACTGTATGCAGTACCAGAAGGAGCAGAAACCAATCAATGTACGTGATCGTCAGCACCTACGAATGAAAACGTTGTATTTTAGCTAGCGCTAACCACATTAGCGAGACGTAAATGACGGCATATACAACACGTCAGCTGTGCCTTTCGTGAAGGCCGGCGGTTCAATCGACCTCAAGTCAGGTTATTCCCCAAAGGATAGGCCGCACTGAGGTCGTATAAGGGAGTGGGAATGGCATGAGCGCCCGTGCGAGAACAATTCGCCCCGGAGATTGTCAATCGGCCAACACTACCGGGCAAATGCCGAGCCGGGCTCGGCCGTGGACCGGCCCCGCCGACCAAGTGCGTAGTTTCGCAAGATGCGTTGGGGATGGGGTGAGGAGAGGCTGAACAAGTGACAAATTGACTCAACATATCCCCAAAACACAACAGACAGACGGGTTTCCCTCCGACTTTGGCCCACTTTCCTTTCAAAGTTGAGGGGCTGGACCCGGAGCCTTAGTTGGAGAGAGGCGAAGGGCTGAAGCCCTGTGGGAAACTACATCCCTACCGCCGCCTCTGTCACAGAGACGCGCCCGTCCTCGGCACAGACCTACGCCTGTCTTCAGGGCCCCTGAGGCCAACGCGCCTGGAAATGGCCCGACCATGCCTGCGGATATTGGCTGAACCCAACCAAGCGATCGCGAACCGGCCCCGGTCCGAGCCCGACCATGCTATGGAGCCGCGCCGTCTCCAGGCTAAGGCCATCATCTCCAGCCATGTCGCGACCCGCGGGGTGCGAGCGGGCGATGTAGCCGTGACAGCTCGTAAGCCGTGCGATAATGCCACCTCCCGTGTAGGACAGGTACGACGGCCGAGACACTGCAGACACCGGGATCGCCAGGGGCGACGTCTCCGCTCGTGAACAGCTGGTGCGACCACCGGACCAGTCTGACAGAACCGGCCGGACCGGTCGACACCACGTCCGACTGTCCTCCGCGCACGGTTGGACGTTCTTAACCATGGTGTTTCTCCTCCACCGTTTGGCTGAAGAAATTGTATCTAGACGTTTGTAGCTTGTGGCGAACCACCAGCAGGATTGGGCGCGTATTTAGCCTGTGTCCCATACCTATCGAGTGGTCGTCCAGAAACCATCAGGGAAGCCCCGCTGCTCTGGATGAGCAGGATGCCTCGCAAGGCCGTTCTCAATGTCATGCTGCAAGGTCCTCTCGAGAGGCACGGCGACACGGCGATGAAAAGAGAAGGAAAACAACGGAAAGCCGAGGCAAGGCGTCCACTGCAGCGCGCGTCCCAGGTTATACAGCTGCGGTTGGCAGCACCTCATCGGAACCAGAAGGTGTGGAACATGGAAGGCCTTTGACCAGCGATTTGAAGTGGGCGACCAGGTGCACCTCCTCGATGAGCGGGATAAAGAGGGTGAGTAAAAAAGCTGCACTGCCCATGAAAACCCGGTTACCGAGTCACAGCGCGAAAGGACCACGAAACTACGTGATGGAACGCTCTGAGCGCCGAGTTACGCCGCTCCGGGTGCACGTCGACCACCTGAAGGAGACGCGACCCGCGCTTGTTTGGCCTGAACAAGAGCCAATGTGTCCCGCGAGGGCTATCGGCCCGAGCGCAGCACGGAACCTTTTACGTGCCTGGAAACCCTGCTGCATGCGGAGCGAGCCGGTTAGATGTCCCTCGGGTGGGATAGCCGGGACCATAGGTGGCTGCGGGACAAAGAGAAGCCACAGGACCCAGGCAACGGGCAGGACGCTGCTCTGGATCACCGTAGAACAGAGCCCCGTCGGCCGTCGCACCCTCGATCCCAAACGCCGCCAGTACAGCGCGGGTGCGCGGACCGGTGGCTCTCCGAGAAACGAGCACAAGTGCGAGCGCGGAGAGGGGACGTGACAACCGAGGGAGACCGCTGCGGAGGTCGGCCCGTAACAGATCCAGACGGGAGTGGTCAGAGCGGGGAGGAATCCAGAATAAGGACGACGAACGTAAGGCTCGAGCGGAAGGGTACCTCACCTGTTCCCCGCATTGTACGTGAACTGTTCCGCCGCGAGAACACTGCATTCGGTCCGCCCGACCCATCCATTGCGATGGTACCCGACAGGCCCACCGCTCTGAGCCAGGCTGATACACGTCATGGTGCTTGCGCTGTGCGCAGCGAAGTGCTGCTCAGAATCCGTCGGCGACAACGGAGTCCAGATGTTGAAGCCACAGCCGGCTGGACTGTTCTTCGAGCCGAGAGGGCACCTGCTGTTCGCCATCTCGCAAAAGATCCCAGTCCTCAGGACCCAGGCCAGCCAAATACAGCCGGAACGGATGCGGATCAAAGACAACATAAAACATATAGCGGATGTGTTGAGGACCAGTCTTAGCAAAACAGCATGAACGGGAGAAGACAGAAACAGCGCGACGGACACAAACGGCTGGAGCAATTCGTCGTCACGTGAGCAGTACTTAGAGCAGGAGAAGACGTGGATGGACCGAGAATCGGTGGCCTCACAGGCAAAGGTAAGGCACGTGTCGTGGGAGCTTATCCAAGCGCGCCCGGCCAGGAGCACCCTGCCCTTCGTCGGCAAGGGGCTGAATTTCTTGTACGGCAAGGCGACGAAAGGAGAAAAATAACTGTGGGTTTAGAACATCTCCAGGCTGAAGCCGTGGAGCTACAGCATACACACGAACTGCAAGCCTCTTTGCCAGGGAAGCTGGTGAGAACACAGAGGGCTGACCATAAGAACATCGCTTGTTGTCAAGTATCGCTTGTGTGTGTGTGTGTGTGTGTCGTCGCTTGTCACCAAACCAATGCAGCCATCGAACTACCAGCGCGGATCGAAGTAAGTTACCGGGTAACAAGATTTAAAGGGAATGTTTCAAAGTTGAAGACATTGAGGCAATAATGTGACTATATTTTTAAGTGAAAATTCTTCCCCTAGACAACGCAGTTAAGGTTTAGTAAATATACTTTACTCAATGTATCGTCTTTGATTACGTCATCGTCACTTGCACAACATTGCTTTGGAGCAGTCTGACGGCCGTTATATCTGGAAATCGTGCTCATGAACGCCAGATATGAACGACTCGACGGTTATATTTTTGTTGGCTTGATCGCCGCCTGGCCAATGGAATAACATAATTTGAATGGCTTTATTATGACGTCATAGATGCCCGCACATAGTCGCGGGCATGTGGCTCAACAACTAGAGGGGCTTAGGTCTTAAGGGCAGGACTGTGAGTGAACTGCGCCGAATGATCTTCGAGATGGTCATTTCAGTTTAAAACCCCATGCGAATGTGAAACACTCCGTTTGGCGTCCGTCGCGAAATGCACATCGAGTTCGTGCCGTGAGTGCAATCAATCAGTGCAATCAGTGCGCCGCCGTCCGCACATTCCGTCACGAGACAGGTAAACTCGTTCGGGGGATGGTCGCGGTGCGGGACGACCGCTTGTCGGTAAAGATCATCCCGTCGTGAGACCTGGCGAGAGCTCTCCCTCGTGCATTACGCCCTCCCATCAGTGAATCCTGGCATTCCGGGCCCGGCAAGCCCTTGGGAACTCTGTCCAGTACTGACCACTTTTGTGCTCCCATTAGCAGACAGATGAAAGATGCGCGTATAGCGTCCACTTCCATCAAGCCAACTTTGATCGGTTCTTCCTGTCTACCTACATTATCGGTTACATCACGTTCTTTCCCTTCATTCCTGGCTTGCGAGTCGCTCCACGGGAGCTCTGATCGATTTCGAGATTTCTTGCTGTACCGTCCGATAGGAAACTACATATGGAGCTGACCAAGGAGATGAGAGTGCCGGAAGACAGCAGCACTGGCGATATGCAATAAGGTCGTTCCGGTGCGCCTACCACTTCGTTCTTGGCGACGAGAACGACTTGCAGAGATCGTGCACTCGGGGGATTGGCCCGCTTCACACGCATCTCCGGAGAGCCGGCCCAGGTCGCTGGGTGTATTCCTTACCCCAGACGGAGAATTTCGCGCTCTTAAACGGGGAAGGATCCGGCGTGCCATCGTCGGGCTTTCACTTGCACGCGGCCGGAGCCTTCGTGCTACCGCCGGCCTGTGCGACAGTGGGCGACAACCTCTTGGTCCCAGTACACCGCGAGGGGTCCACCGCTAGGAAGAACCCACGATAGACCGCATGCACGCCTACGACGCCTGCTAATTTTAGTCACATGTTAGTGTTTGCGATTGCGTTTGGTGATTAATGCGTTCGCGCAATAACACACTTGTCAGATTAGGTTATCACTTTTATTCCGTCGAACTCAGGCAGAGGCTCGCACAACGCTGGCGGTTGGCCACAGCAGCGAATAACAAAGTTACTATGAAGTGGAAATACATTTAACCGTACGTAGCAGCCGTGATGACCATGTGCACACCTAAATCATTACGCGGTAATATCGCTTGTGTCGATTGTAGCAGACAGGCCCATAGCGCAGCGGGCCTCACCTCCACAATGATCGTGTCTCTTTGTCTCTAGCCAACTCAACTATGCTTTCGCTGCAGCTGCACGCATCGCGACCTTCCAAAACGAAGGCGAGGAAGGCGACAGGCAGTGATCCGTGGGGCCGCACACCTCATTTTTCAGCGCGCTCTAGCAGTGAGCAGCGTCTGAACTGAGCAGCAGCGAGCAGTGAGCTGCGACTTGAGCATCGAACAGTTATATCTACATCTAAATCAGTCCGCGGAAACGAACATATCTGCTTACACCTATAACCATGAAAAGAGTAACCCCGCGAAGTCGATACACATGTGATTGTTAAAATATAAATAAAATCTTTAATTTATCATATCGACTAGCACATCAGCTTTGCCATCCTATCTGACGCCATAAAACATGCCGACCTAAAGGTAAGATGACAGGGGAGAATTATTGTGCCAAAAAAAAAATGCAAGTTCTATATCAAACCCTGCTCGCCTGACCTGGTCTCCGCACCTCCAGAGGCAAACGTAGCATGCGCACGTGTGTATTGTAACAGCTAAAATGCAACATAAAGCAAATGGTCCAACTACCTGCGTGGCGACAGATCCATGAAAACCACGCGCTGGTCGTAGCTGTTCTTCTCCAACTAACTCAACTATGCTGCCGCGGCAGCTGCAAGCATCGTGACCTTCCAAAACGGTGCTGGGCGCGGGATGGATGCAATCAAACGATGACTGGGAGTCGACGGGCAGTGATCAATGGTGCAGCCCATCCCGTTCTTCAATGTGCCTTAGCAGAGCAGCGAGCCGCGACTATCGAGTATCGCGTATCGACCACTCCCGCGGGGGCCCACCAAACGGGCCTGGCGTGCGGCCGGCCGCCGCAGGAGCGGGCGGCGCTCACGACAGCGGTGCCGATCGACTGACGCTCGCTTCGCCTTCCCGCGCGCGCCGACCGGCACAGCAACCAAACACAAACTCAGGCCAGCCAAGGCTGAAAGCTTTGAACACCGACATGTGTCCGCGCCCCGCGCACGCCGTCGGGCGCCAGAGATCGGCCGTAGACCCACTGGGGGGCCGCCGGGTGGGACTACTTGTCTCCGTCGTCCACCGTCTGGGCTTGAGTCATCACGTCTGCCACGCTCTTCTCCAGCTCGTCAATCCGGTCGCCCATCTCGTCTATTCGGCTGATGATGTTGTCTGACATAGTCTGGAAGCGCTGCTGCATGTTCTCCAGCAGGCTTTGCACCTGCCAAGGAGGTGGACACAAACACGTCAATAGTTTTATACGTATAAGGTTAATACGTTTAAAATTTTTGAAGGACCCTTCGAATACTTGCATTGCCTTCACTCATGGAATTTAATGAACATAATGCGCCACTAGAATGTGGGATATTGCTACACCAAATGCCACTTCAATGGCAACAACGTTTGTTACAGCTAACACCTAAGAACTATACCTGCACTTCTGGGCAGGAATAGCGCAACATAGATCTTGTGGATCATGGGCGTGTTCATGGTTTCCATCTTGATGCTTTTACTCACAAGTATTTTCCCTAGGGTCAAGACTCATGACAATACAAAGCATGATTGAGTCATCTGTGTTTCTTTCGTTACATTGTGTCTTGCTCTCATGGGAACGGAGTAGAGTCCCACTACCTTTTTGAAATGCCTGTTGATGGCAGGTGAAATGAGGTGGCGTGAAAGTACTATGTACGTCCTGACCTCAGGTAAAATGCAAATAAACAAAGCAGCTGTGTATGCTGATCATTTTGGGTATTTTGCCTATGAATTCATGAAAATTACAGCCAAAGGATTGCAGAAACAGCAGCAACCAAATTTCACACTAACCAAGGCCGACTATCAGGCATGCCAAAGTACAAGTGCTTAACCTATGATCCTATGATCCTATGGTCCTATGGTCCCATGGTCATATTCAGCCCACGATCCAACCTAAGGTCGCACAATTATGAGGTTTATCAAGTTACTACTTCCTTCAACCATTGTTTTGTGTCTTAGTTGCTTCTCCCCGAAAAAACTAGTTGTCTGTTCCTCATAACTTTATGAAAGTATAAAGATCAGTCCCAAACACTTTTACTTAACATCTAGTACTCGGCGCTTAACTGAGTGTGACGTAGGTAACATTTGGTGATGACCTGACATCCACAAGTCATTTTTGCTCTTAAGTTATCCCTTGTCAACTTGGTGTTATTTTCTTCACTTCCCACTAAAGAAAGTGTCCCACCTGAACGGCATATTTAAAAACATTCTCCCATGAAACCTCAGGACTGGCCATGTCTAATACCAGCACTGGGTTGAGCTACTGCACACCGTTACTATAAACAAGGATATCAATTCTAATTATCTCTGAGTCCAAATTATGTGCCGACGCTTTGTACCAGCACTATGCTCCTTCCCTGCAGTTGCGCCACCCTCGTCATGGCAGCCGGCGTGCATATCTCGACTGGCGCGGATAAACGACCGCCTGTGATTAGTCCAGCGGACAACGGCCTGTTACCGAGAAGCGCACGGGCTAAAGTTTAAATCAGTGCGTCACATCGAACATGTGATACTCCCTTTTCCAAAGCCAGAGTGCACCTCGAAAAGAGCTGTTGTGGCTGAATGCCAAATGGGAGGGGTCAAAGCCGTAGTACAACGTTTTGGTGAAATCATAGCAAAATAGCTTTGGTTACAGGACACAACATCATAAACAAAAAGTCAGAAACAAAAATTTAACAGGCAAGAAGTCAAACAGGATAAAAGTCAACCGCAAAAGAGTCAAACGTCAAAAAAACCAACCAAACCAAAAAAGTCAAACCAAAAAAGTCAAACGAACAAGAAGCCAAATAGAAGTCAAAAGGTTGAAAGTCAAATGTAAGAAAGCTAAACAGCCAAAACTTCCAACGCAGTAAAAGTCAAAGGCAAAAATCCAATCGAACAAACATTTAAAGGGATAGGAGTCAAAAACGATAACAGTCTAAAGCAGAAAGTCGGATAACAAAAAGTCAAAAGCGATAAACGCGAAATGGACAACAGCATGAACGGCTACAAAAATCACTTCCCTTGATTAAACAGGGCTTTAAAACACAGCGAGAGCCTCTGGTCAGGCATTCACGGGAGGGACTAAGAGGGGGGGGGGGGGGGGGGTATGAAGAGTCCGCCCGCTCAGCCAGTTGGAATAAATAAGACATTTATCGGCTCGTGACTCCGCAGAAGGTGCATAGGCCGAGTCCCAGCTTTGCGGCAAAAAAGGTCCGGTTGCGTGATGGAAGTGCAGGGATGTGTTTCTCGAAATGGTTGGAAGGGGAGGGCTGAACATTGAAAAATGACCAAACCTGCCTTTAAATCTGCCAACAGGTTTCACCCCAGATTTGGCCACTTTCTTCCTAAAGTCTAGGGGACTGAAGCCCAAGGTGGGAGCGGGGAGGGGGGGGGGGGGGCGGCTCAGCTCCCCCAACTGAATAGGAAACCACATCCCTGGATAGGTGTCTTAGCTCATGATGACTTTTCGCGATGGTATATATTTTAGCTTATCCACTTAAATCCCTTAAACTATAGAAAACCATGGCCATAACAGAACATTCCTCATACCAGTGGTGCCATGGATTTTTAGCTACAGAAAAACTTTACAGGTGGTTTCAGGCCCTTCAGACAAAAAAGCCTCTTGGTGCAGAAAGGGCCAGAAATGACAATTTAGGTCTACCAGCTCAGTTATGTGGGTGGGTTACTGCCCCTTGCTCCCTCGCTCCTGCGTAATCACTGACTATGCCTACAACAAAAGGGTCCCTGCAAGCATACAAAGGGCCATGCTGACATGTAGAGGAGGCCAAGCCCAAACATGAATGAGATGCATGAGCCTCCTGGCTGTCAACAGATTATGGGGTTCCCTGGATTAGGGTGGAAAATATCCCAAATAATCAACAGGTTTTTAACCTTATTTGCTTCAGGGCTCCTGGCACCTGGTTCATTCTGACTTGAAGCCTATTATTGGGAAAGTCTTTTGGCAAAGCCCCTCCTGATTTTTGTCCCTATGATGTTTTATATTTAACAGACCTTTATGCTTGACTTTAATCTTTTGACTTTTCAGCATTCTGGCATAACATTTCACTTTTTGTCACTTGGCTTGCTGCCCTTTAGAATTTTTACCATTTGACTTTTTTCTTTACTTTTTCTTAAGATTTGACCTGAACCCTTTTGAATGGATGGATTTCTGGGATCAGAGCTAAGGCCAATCAGTGCTTGTTGTGTGAGCCTCACCACTACCATTTGATTCCACAAGTCCAGGCAACGGCAGAATTTAGTGGCAAAAGTTTTATGTGCCGCAATGCTTGGCATGGTCTGTCCTGCGGGACATCAACTGACCTTTAGCACAACCCCTTCCATGCCACAGGCCATGCTTGTCAAGGCCAAATGGCAAGCGCCTAAGGCGACTCAAACCCACCCTGCCAGGGGTGGGTGGATTGGAAGGCAGGCACTCCAACCAATTGAGCCATCAGGACAGAATTTAATCCTTTTTGACTTTTTGAAACCACTTTTTCCAATGCCAAGATTTGGTGGTGGCATCCCATCACTCTTCCTGATATAACTGCCTGGTGAGAAGATATCAATTTCAAAATGTGTGTATCAAGGCAACCAGCCAAATGTACAACTTGGTGCATGGATATAAGGAGTTGCACCACAATCATGCAGTCTCAATTTCTCCTTATTTAAGGAGCAATCCCTGAACATTGCAATGACTTTGCAAATTATGCCCTTAGCATGCAAAATAGGTTCCAACGTATGGACATGCCAGTCTGCAAGAATCCTTCCCCAGCACATGACACATGCCATCAGTGAGGTGAGTCCAGAGCACTCTTACACTAAAATCAGCCCTCGGCCAAGTTCGGCAGAATTTCTAGACACAGGCCTTTCTGGAAACTGAATGGCGTTTCTTATATGCATCACAACATCTGATAGAAAAACGTGAGAAGCACGTCTTGCTTACATAAGTCGCAAGTTCCTGTACATTTTTAGGTTCGGAACGGAGTTTGATGAGTTCTGTTCAGTAGCCTTCGTCTGCTCCTTTTCGGCCATCACGAACGAGGGCTTGGGCTAGTGAAAGCTCCTGGTGCGGCGCGTTACAGTGCTCACAACACCTAATTGGATCACAACAAATGCGCCGCTACTAATTGCATCCAACCGCACGGTACCAAGCCGTCCGCACCCCAACCGAAGGCCCCCAACGCCCCTTCCCACTCTCCGCAGTCCGAGCAATCGACTCGGTGTTGTCGTGGAAACGAAGCAAGTCACCGGTGTGTTGTGTGCACCAGAAAAGCCAGAAAATCATGGCGTTATAAACATGATTAGCCAAATCTTTGCTAATCACTCATAAAGTTGATACAAAAAGTATTTTTATCTTCTTGAGGGCAAACAAGCATAGTCATTGACGTCAGTTATATGTAAATATGGCCTTAGTATTGTATATGACGTCATCAAATGGTACAAATTGTTTGTTGTTTTCCTGCAAATGCACTTCTTGACGGATATAATGGCGGCCCCCATGGAGCATCACGTACTGGGTGTGGGGGACAAGTCATTTTCCGTTTACATTGTTGTTTATAAAGATGTGAGGAATGTCAAAGAACTTCGGCCTTTGCTTATGAATGGGAGCTTAAACGTGGCGTTGGTTTCGGCAAAAAAGGTACGTATCCGTGGTTCGGGGCCGCGATTTCTCCAAGGCAGCACAACACGTTTGAGTAAAGTTACGTCAGTACGTGGTAGTTTTTGCTAAACACGTATGCTCTGATGAGAGTTTAAACGTGTGGGCATGTGTCTAATTTTTCCTGGGAACAAAGTCGACTCAGTCGTTTGCACTTGCTCGCCATGCATGCAAGATAATTGTCTGGTGTTGCACCAATTTACCCTTTTTCACATGGTTTAATATATAACAATAAGGGTAACATTGACTGCTTTTTCTTATCATAAATCTGTAGGAATTTGAAATGGTTAAGTTGTTAATCCATTCAAAAGAAAGTAAGTGTGCTATCAGCAGTTGAGCCTTGCTTAGTATGAAAATCTGTCATTAGCTACATAAAGGAGGATTTTTAGCTAGTTGTTCCAAGATTGTCAGTCCTCATAGATATCACCCCATCTTGTTCATTGATGACCTGTAGCTAGATGTATGTGTAGCTGAACCTTTATCCATCTGTAGGTTTAATCACATTTCTTTATTTAGGTTTAGCTGTGCTTATGTTTAGGCCCAAGCTTTGTAGATTAACTATACTTGCTGCTACCTTTGTGTTTTTGTATCTAGCTACATAGCTATATTTTTACTTCACATTGTCAGTGGTTGTGCATTCTGTATCACTGGCATGCTACAGTGATGTCTAATTCAGAAGTGGCCCATTAAAACTTCCTGTCCTCTGAACTAAGGCAGCATGGGTAGCTGATGACCCTCATAATAACTCAGAAGTATATAGTTTATATTAATGGGCTGGGTGGGGAATCAAATTCCTTTCTCCCTCTGAGGGTGTTTTCAGAATGATTTCTGAACAGTGCAGGATAACAGCACCAAACTTAACGTAGCTGCTGACTGAAAGACATCTTTCGATGTAAAAAGGAGATGCACCTTGTGAGGTTAATGACCTATGGCAAACCAAGGGCAGGCCATGGCTAGCAGCATAGGGCATTTCTAGGGAATCACTCAATGTGATGTGACAACAGTGTCAGACAAAGCCAGGCATATGTGAGAAAGGTTCTTAGGCAATAAACCAATTAAATTTAGGATTACAACCAATTCCATTTACTTGGTGTCAAGTACAAAGGCTGAATGAAGGTCAAAACTGCTGTTCTTTTTTACTTGAGAGCTTTATTTATGGGGTAGTTACAGTGCTCATTTCAAATTTGTGAATGGCAAGGACTGCAATAGACATGTTCCATGAACTTTTTAAGGTCAAAATAGGTCACTGACCTTAAATGATGTGGGTCAACATTTTGTCTCTGGCAACATGCTGCTTAGCATAGTTCACATTGCTTATTCAGGCGACAAAATAGGAGCAATGTAGAAGGTGTTGAGGCACCTTGATGTTATTAAGGTCAAACAAGGTCACTGACCTTCATTGAACACCATTGACCTTTGCCTAGAACATGTATCTGGCTTCACAGCACTCGCATGAAGTCAAGGGGCACTTCAGACACCAATTTGAAGTTTGACATTGGTTGACCCCATTCAACCTCAAGGTAGTAATCTAGGAATGTCAAACCTTGACACTAATGAGTTCACGGACAGGCGAACCCACCCTGTGAATTTGGTGTCCTTATCAATATTGGTCTTTGAAATCTCAGAGGGGTCAAATTGACCCCCGCTCAAGTGGTGCATCCAACCGGCCACCTGTGCGCATATTAATGAGGCCATTAAGGACAATGGAAATGTGAAATAGAACTGCATCACCAGTAGCCTGTAACCCTGTTGTTACAACTGCAGTTGCCTGCATCCCTGGTGGTGTGCGGGACATATGCCGTACAATGTGCCGATCAAAGAGATGTTTCATAAAAATGTAATTTACAGATAGTTTCTTCATTTCAACTTCTGGTGGCAGCCAACATAGCCCTGCACAACCAGGCAGATGGCTCACTGAAACAAGGAATGTCAACTCAGAGATAATATTCTCTCTGTCCCCAGGAAAACAGGTTGGTTTTTGCATTTTCTCTGCCTGCAGTACGCTAATGCATCCTAGTGATCAATTTGATTTCAGCAATCAATCCCCACCCTGAAAACTTGCACTGAACCGGCCACCCTGAGCGGACCCGTGTGCAAATGCTAAAATTGTTATTTTCATTCAACTTAAACGGCTCATTCGCCAGCCCACTGCCGTAGCTGCAGCGAGTCCCCATTATCACATCGCACCATTGCCACCAGATATCTGAGGCGTTTTCGGTCGCTGGGCGCGGCGGCCGACGACGCGACGGTGGCCGCTGTGGCCGTGGAGGACGCGGCCAGGCTGGCGCCCTTGCACGAGGCTCTGGATGGCACAGCTGTCCATCCCGACCAGCTGGGGGCGCTGGCCGACACGGCCGCCGCTCGCCCAGCTGTACGGCGTCACCGACCACGAGCTGGCCGTCGGCACCGCTCGAGGAGGCCGTCGTCAACCGGATCGCCACACGACTGTGCGACGTAGGGCGCACCGGGGCTGCCAATCAACGCAAATGTCACCGATCACGAGCTGACCGTCGGCACGCTCGGGGAGGCCGTCGTCAACCGGATCGCCACACGTTGCGCGACGTAGCGCGCGCCGGGGCTGCTGGTCAGCGCGACCGTTCTCCTCGCGTTTGATGGTCGGCCATGGTCTATTGGTCTCATCAGCCGTTATTCATGGCAGAGAATTGCCGAACTACAGCAGACATTTATTGTATTTTTGAAATATACTTGCACCGCATGGCTGCAATCTTTAATATGCATTTACAGCAATCGCCCCAGCCGCACTCAGTACACGACGCTCGGCGCCATTACATCGTCTCAACACTCTCGGGGCTTAAGGTGAGGTAATAGCGCCATGCCACGATGCACGCGCCGCGGGCCAACCAACACCGCACTCGCACAGATAGGAATCAGTATCAAGTACCAAGCATCAGACCGTATTAAGGATAGAGGAGCTCCACGTAAGGTGTGAAGCGAGCATGCATATTTCCAGGTGTCTGGAAGGTGTCGCTCGATGTTGGAAACTTCGGTAGTCCATGACCGTCCTGGATGGCGGCGACATGGTTCTGCAGTTGCATGCCCTGCGGCAGGGCAGGGGTGGATGCGGTCAGTTGAGTTCCAGAGGAGGTGCCAATGGGGCAGTTACTGGCGGGTCAGCGCGAAGCATTAATCAGTGGTGGGTACCTCAGGTGAAACACGGTGCGAACATCATGTCATACGTCACAATCCGAGAGAAGCAGTCCCGAATGGCGTGAGTAATTGATCGCCAGACATTTGGGGAGTCGGACCTACCTACAGACGGCGCGCCGCGAATTTCAGGCTCTGGTGTTCTCCAGCTTCTTGATATAGCACACCACCGTGCCGCGTTTTCCATTATTCCACGGATTGTTGATTTCGCTTGACGTTCAGGAAGATCACGTGCGCGTCCTGGATGCTGATGATGTACATCACAGCACTGCAGCAGAGTAAGGATCGGCTCCTTCAGTTGGGGTTACAAGGGCATTGCAGACGGGGGCGGCCAGTTACAGGTCAGCGCGAGATCTTAATCAGTGGTGGGTACCTCAGGTGAAACACGGTGCGAACATCATACCGTACTGCACAACTCTGGTGAGCAGCCTCAAATGACGTGCTCAGAAAGGTGACCAGGTCGACTCGTACTGGGAGTGAGTGACCCACGCGGACATTGGGGGTCAGACTTACCTATATGAAGCATGTTGCGAATTTCAGGCTCTGGGATTCTCCAGTTCCTTGAGAATGCACTTTGTTTCATTGTCCAGCATTTCACGTTATTCCGCGGATTCTTCTTGCTCTCGCTTGACGTTCGGGATGACCACGTGCTCGTCCTGGATGCTGATGGTGTACATCACAACACTGCGGCAGAGTAAAGGTCGGCCCCTTCAGTTGGGGTTACAAGGACACCGCAGACAGGGGCAGGCAGTTACATGTCAGCGCGAGGTCTTAATCAGTGGTGGGTACCTCAGGTGAAACACGGTGCGAACATCATACCGTACTGCACACAATTACTAGCCCATATGGTGCCATAATCACGGTACAGCTGCACCCAAAGACCAAATGACAAGCACGTCGTACCATCAGTCGTAATTACCTGTTTAGATCAATATGAAGACAAAGCTCTTGCATTTCGTGAGTTTTCGCTTGACGTTCAGGATGCTCACGTGCGCGTCCTGGATGCTGATGGTTGTACATCACAACACTGCGGCAGAGTAAAGGTCGGCCCCTTCAGTTGGGGTTACAAGAACACCGCAGACGGGGGCAGGCAGTTACAGGTCAGCGCGAGGCCTTAATCAGTGGTGGGTACCTCAGGTGAAACACGGTGCGAACATCATACCGCACCGCACACGACAGTAACTAGCTCATATGGTGCCATAATTACATGCCATTATAAATCACAGTACCAGCTACACCCAAAGACCGAATGACAAGCACGTCGTACCATCAGTCGTAATCACCTGTTTAGACCGATATGGAGACAAAGCTCTTGCATTTCGTGGGCATCTTCTGCGAGTGGTCGCGCAGCGGTCTGGCAGGAGGGGATCGGCCGTGGCATGGGCGAATGACCGCCAGGATACTGCTCGATCAGCTTCATCTGGTGCACAAACTGCAGCGTCGCCTTCCACGGGCTCTGCTGGGCGATACCCCCAGATACTAGAGTAAAGAATAGCTGAACATAACTGGATCTCTCGTTTCCGAAAAAGGAAGTGGCATTCAAGCGGAGGTGAGGACAAATCCGCACTACGTTGCTTTCACATGGAAATATCCTGGGAAAGTGAATGGAGGAATAAGAAGAAAACAATGACATACCTGACGAGATGACATTTCTGGATTGGCCAACCCTTCGCAGCGCCGCCGGTGAGGTCTGTCCCTTCGGGTCGACAACCAAATCCAGGCAATGGTACATGACATCATTATTACGCGTTTCGTGAAATATGATACATGACAGAGACACGCGCGGCCTCTATAAGACTGTGACACGTTTTGCTCGGTCGGATCACCGCTTGCTGGCAGCGCGACGGCGAAGTGCAGCGTTGCAACGCGTCCTCACTGGACGGCAGCAACGCCAGCAGCCAGGACATGTACGCCGCTCCGCACGAAAAGCCAGCACATCCTCGACCACCGCAAGCTGGGATATCTGCCGCCACAAAACACCCCGGACACCATCGACGGGACAGACGCCGCCACTTAGAAAGCGTAGCGGGTCCGGATGTCCTCAAGCTTCTTGGACACTTCGCTCGAGGTGCGGTCCAGGTCTTCGGCGATCGACTTCTGCTTGGCCATGTCGATTGTGTTGTACTGTTCGCACATGTCGCCGTCCAGCACGTTCTGGAAGCAGAGATGGCAGTTAAGGTCCAACATGTTGTTGAATAATTGGATTATGACTTACCAGTGGCATATGAAATTAGTATCTCCTACACAACCAGAACTATGGACGCACTTCAACAAATGTCACCCTTACGAAGAGCCATCATGCGCGCCGCCGTAGCATGCTGGACGCGGATGAACTGAGCATGCTAATGAAAGGAGTATTTTAGGGATTCATTCGGTCTATCAAAAACCTTTTTTGAACTTTAAGTGTCACCATCTTATTTGCAGTTGCCTCATGCACACAACTAAATTGCGGCGTACATCTGACCGTCAGTGTAAATATCCTTGAGCCGGATGCACAACAAGTGACAGCAAGAATTACTGGGAACCCTTACCAATTATACTGCATTTAACTAGCCTCTCGCATTTAACTACCCTCTCCCCTCCCATTCCCCCACGGCGTGCCCCGGCCGCGGCTCACCTTGACGGGGAAGTAGTAGCTGCGGAATGAGAGGTGGTCGCGGCCGCACAGCGGCGCGTTCTCCGAGCGCATGTGCATCTCCAGGTGCTGGAAGAAGTCCATGTCCTCGTGCGAAGTGAACGGCACCAGTACGCCGATCGTGCCTGAGATGGTGGTGTACACGAGAGACTCGCTGCCGCCCGGGATCAGCGTCGCCCTCTGCCGGCGTCGACAGAGCGCGAGTCAGCCGGCCGGACGAGGCAGACGGAACACGAAGGTGGCGGACATGACGCGCGGCAGCCGACACAGCGGCGGCGGCGGCGGCGGCGGCGCCGGCAGCGGCGGGCACTCACCTGCAGCGAGAGCACCGTCTCGCCGATGTGGAACTGGCAGAGGACGTCGGCCTTTTGCGAGGCACCGCCCAGCAGACCGCGGTCCCACAGCGCCTTGTTGCCTGTCGGGTCCTCGTCCACGTCGTCGTTGGTGCCGGTGGGCAGACGCAGCTGGCGGGCGGGTATCGGGGCGTCAGGTGGGCCACGCATACCCAATGAAGTCATACAGGACAACAGACAAAACTCAACACCGCCAGCTGCAATTTACTCGGGCGTCCAAATCCCCCTGGACCCAGCTGGACCGTGAACGCGCTAAGCTGCCCCACGACCCTGTAATGGCCGCCGCGCGGCGCGCTGCACGAGACGGGGCGCGCTCCCTCACCACGGCCACGTTCCCGAACTTGTCCGCCGCCGCCACCGTGTCGTAGTCGAGCAGACAGGTGGCCGTCACCCAGCGGTGGTTCGTGTCGTCGGCGAACAGGATCAGCTGGTTTTCCTGGCGCTTGTAGCGCACGAAAAACACGGACTCCTGCACGTCCGCCACGTACACGCGCTGACCCAGCGCCTGGATGCTGACGATGTGGTTCGGGATGCTCTGCGGCGGAGCAGGGGGGCCGTCAGCTGGGTCTCTGGGGTGCTGTGGACGGGGCGGTCACGACCGAGTCAGCGCGAGATCTTAATCAGCGGTGGGTACCTCAGGTGAAACACGGTGCGAACATCATACCACAACGGACAGCTTTTCACTGCCGCGGCGCCGTCGAAGCCGTTACCTTGTTTTCGCACTTTCTGAGCATCTTTTTCTTGCCCAGGTCGTAGATGCGCAGCAGTTTGCCGACGCTGATGAGCGCACGGCCCTGATACGGGCAGATGGCCGTTGGCACGTCTTCCACCTCGGTCCGGTGCACGAACCTGCAGCGTCGTGCCCTCGTTCACCAGCCTGGGAACGCAGACGGATGCGAGTCACAGGCCGCACGCCGGGCAAACAGTCTGGGGACGCCCTCGTCGGAGGGGCGGCGGGCGGAGGAGACAGTCCGGGACGTCCCGAGGAGAGGGAGAACCCTCCGGCAACAGTCTGGGGACGCCTCGTCGGAGGGCGGCGGGCGGAGACAGTTCCGGGGACGTCCCCGAGGAGAGGACCGAGAACCCTCCGGCAACAGTTCTGGGGAACGCCTCGTCGGAGGGGCGGCGGGCGGAGGAGACAGTCCGGGGACGTCCCGAGGAGAGGGAGAACCCTCCGGCAACAGTCTGGGCACGCCCGTCGGGGGGGGGGGGCTGCTGCAGGCCTGCGTCTCATACGAGCGTGGCATCAGTGCTGTCGCGGCAGCCGGCCTGCCGGGCGTGCGGACGGGCCCGGCCCTGTTGCCGGCGCCGCGGTTTACTGTGGCGGACGTTCAAATTGGACCCGGCCACGGGACAGGGCCGGGCACAGAGTGCCGTCCGCCGCCTGCCAGAGCACAGGTGGCCCTCAGATAATACCAACACCGACACAGTGCATCGCTGACTCATGCGCTTTGAAGGTGCTGCCACAATATGATTGTATTGGATATCCCCAACATGCATATTTGCATTGGCCCCCTTTTTTTAGCGCCCAGCTTCTACACTTCGGCGCATTCGACATGAAAACACGTGTTTGCATAGTACAAGTTGTCATAACATGCCTTTAAACGGAGATCGAGACGACCCTTCGCCCAGCGGTGCACTACGAGAGTGATGTCATGTAATGCACAGATAGACACTCACTTGTAGCAGTAGATGTAGCCGCAGTCGACCTGTTTGGGGCTGAGCTGGTAGTCCTTGGCCACACCGACCAACACGTACTGGTCCGTCTCCGGCTGACTGGCGAACTTGACGAGCGCGATGCTGCGACACAGGAGACGAACGGTCAGCGACGCGATCTAGCGACAAGGCAGCACCAAGGGCAGGTACTGCGACACTGGAGACGAACGGTCAGCGACGCGATCTAGCGACGAGGCAGCACCAAGGGCAGGTATTGCGACACAGGAGACGAACGGTCAGCGACGCGACCTAGCGACGAGGCAGCACCGAGGGCAGGTACTGCGATCTGGGCGTCCTGGCCTAGTCACAAGGTAGCTCACCGTGGCTAGAGCAGGCAGCGCTGGCCGGGACAGCAGCCTGACCAACGGCAATGCTGCCGAACTACAGGGCGACCTCAGGTCGACGCCGGGTGGCCAGCGGGGGTCCGGACGCCGGCGCCGCCCGCCACCCGATCATGCCCGTCAAGCGCGCACGCGCGCCGGAGTGTGGGACGCACCTGAGCGCGGCCTCGTTCTGCTCGAGCCGGGTCAGGTGGGTGGTGCGGCCGTCGGCCGGCTCCATGACGCGGATGACCGAAGCCCACATGCCGGGCCCGGCCTTGGGCGCGCCGAACATCGTCTCGGGCAGATTCTCCGAGAGGAAGGCCTGCGCCATCTCGTCGGCCAGCTCCGCCTCCTCCTCACCGGCCGCCTCCTTCATCTCCTGCGGGCCGACGGGCGGGGTCGTCAGTGCTGAGACACAGCTTCCCGCGGCGCGCGCCAACCCAGGGGCGGCAGGCAGAGGAGTCAGCCGAGTACGGCCAACTGTCGACGCTACTGCACCCACTACAGTATCAGCAGAACGCATGACATAACCGAAACCTCGATAAGCAACAGCAAAACCCAAGCTATGCTGCCCGACAGGTTGTCTGTAGGAAAGCCAGAACACAAATGTCATTTACGTAAACACCGTGTGAGTTTCAAAATGAACTCCACGACACACGCCTGCGCCTCACAGGCTCACAGGTGTAGCGGCAGCCGGCCTGCCAGGCCGTGCGGACGGGCCCGGCCTGTTGCCGGCGCCGCGGTCACTGTGGCGGACGTTCAAATTGGACCCGGCCACGGACAGGGCCGGGCACAGAGTGCCGTCCGCCGCCGGCCCACGGGCGCGGCCCGGCCGCCAGCCACACCCACCTCGGCCATCTGCAGCTTGCGCGCCTGTTTCGTCTCCTCGGTGTAGGCGTTTGTGGTCGGTCTCGATGATGACCAGGTGGCCGCTGTCCTGGTGGATGGCGAACTTGCGCGGCGTGTACTCGAGCGGGTACGACATCTGGCGGGGGGCAGACGCAGCGTTTGGCATGGCAGAGCGACCGCCCGCAGGACGACTCGCGAGCACAGGGCCCCGTCCGTGCATTCTCCCCTTTCCATGTTCTCGCCCGACATGACACGCAGTAAATGTTCATACGAAGTCAGACCACCTTTAGTGCACAGCAGAGCTCATAACCAGCACCAATGGCTACGACCTCAGTGTACTGCCCATACCCAGGCGTCCCCGGCCGCCCCACTGAATGTGAAGGGCACGCAGGGCACCTGACGCCACCTCCTGTCGGAAGAGAAGCGGCCGCTCTCACCTGGTTGAAGACGGCGCCGAGCTTCTCCAGCGCCAGAATGCGCAGCGTGTTGGTGCTGATGGCCACGATGCCCTCGGGACACTGCTCGGAGGCGAAGCCGCTGGCAAACTCCAGTGACTGGTACGACAGCGGCGTCAAGTGGAACCGGCTCTGGTAGTAGTAGTTGAGCCACGACCGGCTGGACATGGCCAGCACCTGCGGCGGGCGCAGCCCGGTCACCCCACGGACGCACACCCCGAGCGCCAGTCACCGCTGATGAGCAGACGGCAGCGAGCGCCCGAAGAGGTGGTCGAGACGACACTCAGCGCGAGCAGACAGTGGGCCGTGGGGGAGGCGACGCCCCACTAATTCTACTGCAGCTGAACTTATATGTCGATTCTCCAAGCCTGTTACTTATGGTTGGTTGGTTGGTCATTGGGGCTTCAGGACGCCGTAGGCCTGTGGTCAACCCCACAGCGGTGTACTGGACAGTCTGGACCGCCGGACCCGTGTGTCGGTCCGGCGGTTATTCGGACCAGCTGCGGTAGTGTGGCAGGGCGGGCCGGGCGGCACCGCGGCAGGGCGGCCCGCCGCAGACGGCACGCTCTGCGGCTCACCCCTCCCTCCCTCCCACTGCGCCCCACTCACCGCCTCGTTGTTCTGCATGCGCACGCGGAAGAGTTTGACGGGCCGGGAGCCGAGGTACCGAGTGCGCGTGTCCGACAGGTCACCAGTCACCTGATCCAGCACGGTGCGCAGCAGCACGCCGTTCTGCCGACGGCAGGGGAGATGGGCGTCAGAGCGGCGGCCGGCCCAGTGATGGAGGGAGCGAGGGCGTGACGGGTGACATTGCTGTTACCCGCATCAGTGAGGGTGTGACGAGGCTGTCATTCGTATCACAGAGCGAGGCGCGACGGCCTGAGAACACTGTCATCAATATCGCAGAGCGAGAGCGCGCCGGAGAAGACTGTCAACATCACAGAGCGAGGGGACGATTGGTGAGATGACTGACACCGGAATCACAGAGCGACGGCGTGACGGGTGAAAACACTGTCATCAATATCACAGAGCGAGGGGGCGATTGATGAGGTGACTGACACCGAAATCACAGAGCGAGGGCGTGACGGGTGAGAGGGTCGACGCCCACATAACCAAGGTGTTAACACCGCACATAACATAGACGATGCCACGCAGGACAGCCTGGCCATGTGGGATGTTCTGGCACAACACGCGACGGTGGGCGACGGTGCGCGGCCCACCTGGAGTCCGATGTTGAGGTAGAGAGAGCCCTGCAGGCCGGGCTCGCCGTCGGCGCCCTCCGTGCCGCCCATCTCGACCACGCAGAGCGACTCGGGCGCCGCCGGCAGCGCCTGCATGCTGAGCGGCGCCAGACAGTCCTGAGGCGGCGCCGGGGCGACGGGTCAGGCGTGACGTCACACCGCGCGGGCAGCACGGGACGTCACACCGGCCGGCGCAGATGCCGGGAAAAACCCCCATCTGACGGTGACGAACGCCACCGCACACCAGCTGAACTTGTCTGTTACCACTCAAGGCATGCCTGATAAGTCAGGTTGGTTGGTCATTGGGGCTTTCGGGCGCCGTAGGCCTGTGGTCTACCCCACAGCAGTGTACTGGGCAGTCTGGACCGCCGGACCCGTGTGTCGGTCCGGCGGTTATTCGGACCAGCTGCGGTAGTGTGGCAGGGCGGCCGGGCGGCACCGCAGCAGGGCGGCCCGCCGCAGACGGCACGCTCTGCGGCTCATCCCTCTCTAGACATTTCCCGCAAGGTGGCCCTTCACATCCACCCATTCAAACGTCCTGCCAACGTCTGATCAAAAATGAGCACATTCCATTCGTACTACGCCCCATGGTGGGAACATCAGTATCATTGTTGTGTGTGGATGTGTGTCACGTCTAGTAAACGTCAAACCGGACAGCAAGCAACTGAATTCATCAGATGGCAGCGCCACCTCCCCGGCGGCAGCGCCGTACTCACACTGGGGTCCAGCGAGATGATGCGGACCGTGTTGTCGGTGAGGCCGACGGCCAGGAAGCGCGAGCGCTGCTCGCCCTGCGGCACCGAGCCCAGCGCCATGCAGACCACGTCCGACGACATCGTCCGCCGGTCCGTGTACTCGTTCAGCTGGCCCGTCTGCCGACACCCGAGCGGTGACGTCACCAACGGCGGCCCGTGGGGCGCCGGGATGGCTGTCAGTGGCCGCGCCGCCCGGGGGCACGTGGGCTCGGCAGGACACGGTCGGGAGGTCGCCGAAGGTCAACTCCGCAACGGTGACCCCGCGTCAGGAGTCGTCTGAGCTACGCGGGCTCGGCAGACAGCCAGCAAACGCCATCGCCGCTTTACACAAATGAAACAAACTCAGCAACCAGATCCTCCACGTTGGGGCAGTCACGTTAACACCATGGGGCTTCGCGCGTCCGGGAAGGCTGGCCCAGAAGGGGAGGGGGGGGGGGGGGGGCTCGCACGAGCCACTGACGAGCTAGTGTACTGCGCCACGAAGTCCGACAGTCGGTCGGTCCCGACTGTCGGGCGAATGGGCCAGATCATGATCTACGGCACGTGCTTATGGTGTCACAACGGTACTGAGACACCCTCGGATTGTGCCGACACACCCAACCACCAACATGCGGGTTTTCTCCAGCCACGGAGCGACGCTCGAACATCCCCCAAACAGCACCAGGTAACGAAACACAATAGCGCAACGTACCAAACGCGGCAACCCAAACCGGCCAATTTCCCACCATACGCCACCGAGTCCCAGCATCGGTGGCTGCGGGTTTCGCGCGCGGCCGGTCCCGGCGTCTCCGCCTACTGACCGTGTCCATCTCGAAGTAGACCACCTCGCCACCGGTTAGCGCGATCACCACCTGGCGCTGGTTGACGGCGCATTTGACGATAGTCTTCTTACCCGGAGCCTTCCACTCGTTGACGCGCTTGTCCGCCCGAATGTGACGGATGCCGTCCGGGTAGATCTGCCAACACGGGCGGGCCGTTATAGCGCCGGAGCGCCCACGGCAAACGTAAACGGCTCGGCACAGTTCATGGCTTTGATTTTCGCGTGCGCAGCAACATGTTCGCCATAATTCACGGTGCAACAGGCAGTTCGGCCTTCTGCAGACAGAGAATCCCCTCCGCTACCGCAACCAGCATGTGCCGCTCCTATCGAGTCCAGTCCCTCCGCCCGGCGTCGACGACCCGGCTTGCCCCGGGACCCCGCGCCGCGACCGAGACACCAGGCGGTGACGGCAGCCCCGCGACTCCCCACCGCGCGCTTCACGTCAGCCAGTCCTCCCCGAACGCGAGGCGGGCCACTCACCTGGACGAGCGCGTCATCGCCGAGCTGCGAGCACGACAGGGTGGGCGTGGTGCCCAGGAAGCCGGAGTCGGTCACCTCCTCCACCGTCTCGCCGATGGACAGCACCAGCGTGGCGTTCACGAACGACACGATGATGTACGCGTCGTAGTCGTCTGCCGGCACACCAACACCGCCGTCGTCACGGACAGCGCACGGCGAACGCGCACAAACGGAACAGGACCGCGCGTGGACAGATCAGCAGTGAGAAATCTGCTGCATTGTGAGACCCACGGCGCCTGACGCCCCCGAGACGGAGAGGTGGCGCCGCCCAGCGGCCGGTTCGGGAATTACCTGATTTTCGCCGGAAGCGCTTAAATTAGCCGCCGATCGAGCGGGTCCCGTCTGGAAAGAACAGAGCCTGGTTGTTGACGGGAGCGTCAAACCGGCCTTGTTAGAAATGTTCGGTGACTTTTGTTGGGATGAGCGAGGGCAGGGGCACTGCACGACCCACAGTCTGTCTTCCAAGACCGCGAGCTCGTGGTGACTAGCTAGGGTGGACGGTACTGGGGTACAAGGCAACCTGCACATCCTTCAGCAGGTTACCAAATGGGCACCTATCGTGACTTCATGGCCCCCACTAAAAACACCGCTTTTTCAAAACATGCACACAGATTTCCTGCCACAGTTTACGACAGCAAAGCAAGAAACCAAGCATGCTGCAACTTGCCACTAGGTGTGGAGCCAGTAAGACCCTGGTCACGCACAAGTTGTGGTATTCTTTACCTATATGCACGACTTATCCCGTCAACATTCACAGCCAGCTTTCACATCGTGCATAACTAAGTACAACGACGACGCAACGAAGCTCCCGTTCAGGAAAATTGCTCCACTAAATCTATCAACCAGGGCAGCTTGTGGCGAGCTTACTCCTGATACGAGGATTTCTGGACTCGGTTCTCGAATGTACAGCTTGGGTAAGCCCCGATTATCCACGACCTGATCATCCCAACTGTGCTAAGAATATCATGCAGCAACTACCCTTCCACATCGTCCTTTCCCACCCCACTTCTTGACGCTAAGCTAGCAGCCAAGGTGAGAAATTATACTGGCAACTATCAAAGGCCAACATGTTACACCCACGGATAAAGGTACCGCAGAATGACCATCCGGGCTGTGTGCCTTACAGACAGTCCACGGAATCAGAGGCTGGTCCGAGGTCAGGGAGGGGGAGGTCGGTGTCGGCGGTCGGACGAGTGGACCCGAGGCCAGAGGCGCGGGTCTCCGGCCGCCCCGGACGCGCGCACGTACCGTCGGCCCGCTTGCGCACCGTCCAGACGGCGTTCGGGTTGCCGGGCAGCTCGGAGACGGCCATCTCGCTGACCTCCAGGCCGTGGCGGAGCACGCGCAGCGAGGAGCGCGGACCGCGGCCGCACAGCGAGTACACCTGAGGCGTGTCCTCGTTCGCTGAAACGGGCCGCCGCCGCGTCAGTCAGCCGCCACACACCCACGCGGCACAGGGGCCGCGGCCAACAGCGGCTGCACCCCGCCGCAGGCGCAATATGGGAGCTGACAGAGCTAAACCAGTTCACACCGCCCACCGTCTATCCCGGTGCCAGTCATGGACAAGACTAGCCTGTTCCCACCATACGACAGACGCCAGACTGTTCTCGGCCCGGCACCCGGCCGCTCTCGGCCGTCCCGTCCCCGGCGGCGAGCGCCCCACTGACCCAGGTCAGCGATCTGGCAGCTGAGGATCGGCGACAGCGACTCCAGCTCGTCCACCAGCACCAGGTTGCGCAGCGGCCGCGGCGCGAAGAAGAACGTGTCGCCCTCCTCCAGCGGCATGGCCGAGCTGAACTCGGGCTCGTCATCGTCGTCGCCCAGGTTGGCGATCTGGTACAGGTAGCTGCCGGGCGCGGCGCCGGCCGTCAGCTCGGTGCTGGACAACACGTGGTGGGCCGGGACAGCAGCAAGCCAGTACAGTGGGAGATGATTAGTGCCACCATACAAAAGCAGGCAAGCTAGATCACCACTTATGATAGAGAAGTGTTTGCAGCTGAAATATTCCTGGTATATAAAAACAGGCAAGTTGGATCACAACTTACTGATAGTGACAAATGTTAACTTACGACAGTGAGTTACGTGAGTTACGATGCTTGTGAACAAATCAATATATGTCTGGACACACAGACCGTGATCAAAACCAACACCACACTTTGTGATTTATACTGTCACGACTATACAGCAACATCAGCATGGCAGTCTCAACCACCATTTAGGCCATATGCTCCCAAGCAGTCACATACACCCCCTATTGATGGCAAAAGTTGACTCACTGGTTGCCAAACTCTGATGCGATGAACAGGAAGCCAGTCTTCAAAACGCACATAGATGCGGCTACCGGCACAGTGTCGAAGTATTTGAGCTTGATCTCTGTCACAACGTCCTCGTCCGTCTCAACCGTGATCTTGAAGATGTCGCCCTGCTCGGTTTGTGCCAGGAAGAAGAACATGGATTTGGTCTTGTGCGTGGCCGAGCAGACGAAGATAAGGCCTCGCTCTGGGTCGTCCAGGTCGTTCTGCCAGTTGAAGGAACCGGCATGCAACGTCAAACACAATCACATGAGAAGGCATGACCTGCAGAAATGAGCACACAGTGAAGGGGCCACCATCACACCTGTCTGCTTGTTGCAATATGGAAGTTTCTCTGAATGGATACAATACACAGAATACTAAAAGTATCACATCATAAGCATGACGGAAGCAAGAACCCAAATCACCTGACCAATTTTGCCTACCACTTCGATATTTGAGCTTATTTGGAGCACACTGACTTTACTCACTGCAATGCTCCCGCCTCTCACAGCACGGCCTGCTGCCCATACCCAATGACAGCTCCGAACGGCCCATACCATCTACACGCCTCTCAGGCCGCGGTCCCACTCCCAGCGGCGCGGCCGGCAGTGGCTCCCTCCCCCAGCGGCGCGATCGGCGGCGGCTCCCTCCCCCAGCGGCGTGATCGGCGGCGGCTCCCTCCCCCCAGCGGCGCGATCAGCGGCGGCTCCCTCCCCCAGCGGCGCGATCGGCGGCCGGCTCCCTCACCAAGGCCCGACTACGGCGCAGCGCGGCCGGCGGTGGCTCACCCGGCGGCGTGGGATGGGGCAGCGGATGTCGTGCTGGTCGCCCAGGTTCTTGTAGGTGATGTAGTTCTCGGAGCAGACGAGCACGCCGCTGGGACCGTCGTTGCCGCCCGGCACCGAGATCAGGAAGTTGGCGTGCTCTTCCAGCGGCTCGGAGTACTTGCGCACCACATGGTTCAGGCCCAGGTCCAGCTCGTAGAAGGTGAGCGTCTGCTGCGTCTTCTGCGCCGCCTCGCCGGTCGGGTCCGAGTCGGCGTCCTGCAACGGTGGCGTTACGTCACGCTTGCGCCACGGTGCGTGGCAGGAAACGGGCCACACACGGACGGGCCGTGCACAGCGTCGATAAGCATCGTCATGGCAGGAGAATGCTTTGGTCATAACACAAAGTCTCGTCACCTGAGATGAGCTGTCAGGGATCATCTCTTGACAACTAAGTCAAATGCGAAATAAAAAGTCACGTCAAAGGTCAAGTCTGAAGTCAACCAAATGGGAATATTCATTGTTATGCAAAGAATAACACAATGAGAATGCAATGCCATGGCACATACCTCATAGTCGATTTCCAGGCAGGAAAACAGTGGATTGTCAAATCCAACGTCGACACCGACGATATGGTAGAACGAGGGTGTTGGACTTGTGGGCCTCCAGAGGGGATGAGATCGTCAGGTGGGCCTGAGCATCACGGTTCAGGATGTACACCAGCTTCTGCTTCTCGATAGCACCTGGCAGCGAGGTTTGATCAATCAAACAAATCAAACAAATGGCAATGTCACTGAACCCAGCAATCAAACTCTACCTCGTTACTTGCGCTGCCTCATCAAAATACCATGACCGGGGCCGCTGGCTGCGCTCACCGATCATGACGGCGCGGCCCTTGGGATCGATGGCCAGGTACTGGCCGGGCACGATGCGGCGGCAGCCGCTCTTGCCGAACGTCTCCATGTGCACGCGGTCGAACAGGTTCTTGCCCGGGTTGTACTCGAGGATGACGATGCGGCCGGAGTCGGAGCCCACGATCACGTAATCTGAGTGCAGAGGCAGCGGCAGTCAGTCGGACGGACGCCGCAACGCACGCCATCACCAGCTGGGGCGCCAGTCGCTGCAAAACACCATACACAACACACGCCAGGCCTGACATTAGCGCAGCATTTCCACACGCGCGGACACATCTCCCAGAACTATGCGAGTAGAGTAAACTAGTCGTCAACCCGTGTTCTATGTGCCATGTGGCAGCGGACTCACCTTTGGTGCCTCCCGTGAGCCGGAACGACATGAGCGAGCGCACGATGCCGAACACCTCGGTGGCCAACAGGGTGTGCACCTTGCCAGTGTTGGGGTCGGGACGCAGCAGCTCGAGAGTCTTGCCGCGAGACACCACGATCTCGGGCAGCTTCGAGCCCGAGAAGTTGCCATGGACAGCGTGTGTGATGCCGGTGGCACGCTGCAGAGTCAGGTTGTACAGGTGCATGATAGTGACTGGCTACCTGAGGAAAAACAGGGGCAAATTTCAGTCAAGGGGACTTTGGCACATTCATGTAGTTTTTTAAGACCACACAACCCATAACATCACATCACTTTTACAGTGCTGGTGACTGCATTGGCCATATTAGTGCTCGAAGGCCATGGCACAACTGAGATCCAAACCCAGGCCCCCACCTGGGAGTCTGACATGCTGACCACCCCATCATCACAAGCCCAGGCCTGCATGCAGTATGTGATAAATGCAGTGCGTTTTCCAGATATGCACAATGGTTTCACCAGAGCTGCACCAACTGACCATGCTTTTCAGTTCCACTTCAGTTCCACTGCTATCCTGAAGCTTTCTGGTAAGTAATGGCCTAACAGGCATGGCTACCTCAGATTAGCAAAAACCATACCAGACTTTGTGAGTTTCATGTGTGGATAGTATGGTATGGCTCAGGTCAATGACCACAATTTTCTTGTTGTGTTAAGCATTAATGTCTGCCTCACTGACACCACTGATATCAGAACATTGAAAGTAGACTATACAACATAAATTTTCTGATCATTAACCATCTCAGCTGCCTAATGACACCTGGCAAATTCTCTCACATGGCAATTTTCTAGATGCTGAGACATTTACCATC